TGTTCTTCATATGTTTTGGCCTCCAGTCCCCTAATCATCTTTATTTCTCTTCTCTGCACTCTTTCTAGAGTCTCAAAATCTGTTTTACATTGTGGTGACCAAAACTGTATGCAGTATTGCAAGTGTGACCCTACCAAGGCCATATAAAGTGGAATTAACACTTCATCTGATCTTGATTCTATCCCTCTGTTTATTCAGCCTACAACTGTGTTGGTTTTTTTGGCAGCTGCTGTACACTGCTGGCTCATATTTAATAACATATAATGATTTTTATATGATGGGATTGGCATTTGCTGTAAAAAAGGAAGAAAATGATGCGTTTCCAAAACCAAAGGCTAGAAATGGAAACAATTTGAGAGATAGGTCAAATTTTGATCAAACGTCTTACAGATCGTTCTCGAGTTATGAATGGTCCCTTAGCAACTGTTTGAAGTTACGGTCTACCTGAAAAAGTGACTTAGGTTCCAGATCTGAAATTCCCATGATTGGCATCCTCCCACAATTGTGTGATTGCACTTTGAGCACTTGGCAACACGGCCATATTTAGTATCCCTCAGTCCCATGACCATGTTTGACAAGAGTTTTGTCAAAAGCCAGCATTTACTTCCGGTTTTTGCAAAATCACATGTCAGTATTCCAAGTAATGCACCCAGAGGAAGTAGAACTCTGAGGTAGGTTGATTCCTCAAAGAACAATTTTATTGGATACATCATATTGGCACAACTGGTGAAAGCCAACTCTGAAAGTTACCGCGGCTTTCACCTATTAAAAAGTAAAGTTTCCCCTTTCCCTCAAGTCAGTGGTCATGCTGTCCAATCAAAGTGCTGACCGGTTGCTTGGTTATCTCACTACTCCTCTGGCCAACTACCTGTTAGAATGTCCTTGGTTCCCACAGGAAAGCTACAAAACCCCATCTAACTATTTTCCCCTTCCCTCCATTGTGTGGTAACTCTGAAGCCTCCAAGATGGCCTCAGCCAGGTTCACTTCAGGGTTGACATCACACTCACAGTGATCAATGGGTTCACAGTGATGACCACTGCATTTGCTTAGTGATTGCTGCAAAAAAATATTGTCAAATCAGATTGGTCACGCAACAGATCCCTTTTATGACTGCTAATGACTTGCGACCTCCATTATAGTTGCAACTCAAGGGCTACTTGTATTCAGCTCTTCTATCCTATATTAGCTATGGATATCAAATGACAGCCTCCCACCCCACCCAATGAACATTTTCTCCATAGAATTCTTTTATCCTCCTTTTTTATTTACATTTCAGTCCCAGGACATGAGACTGCATCTTGAGGTAAAACTTACCACCTGAGCATGAGAAAATGTGCTTGTTGTTGCTATTGCTTGTTCCGTGTTTGCTGCTTCCACTTGAATCATAACCACCGCCTGCTTTTCCACTGCTGCTCCCACACCCGGCTGATCCACAGCAACCAGTCTTGCCACTGTTACTGGAATATCCTCCAGGCCCACAACCGGAACCACAACAGGAAGTCTTGCTCCCACATCCAATGGATCCACAACAGGAAGTCTTGCTTCCACATCCAGTTGACCCACAACAGGAAGTCTTGCTTCCACAACCAGTGGATCCACAGCAGGAAGTTTTGCTCCCACATCTGGTCAATCCACAGGAAGTCTTGCTTCCACATCTGGTTGATCTGCAAGGTTTGCTTCCACATCCAGTTGATCCACAGCAGGAAGTCTTGCTTCCACAACCGGCTGATCCGCAACAGGAAGTTTTGCTTCCATAACCGACTGATCCAGAACAGGAAGTTTTGCTCCCACAACCGGCTGATCCAGAACAGGAAATCTTGCTTCCGCAACCAGCTGATCCACAACAGGAAGTTTTGCTTCCGCAACCAGCTGATCCGCAACAGGAAGTTTTGCTCCCACAACCAGCTGATCCAGAACAGGCAGCTTTGTTCACACAACCAGTTGATCCACAGGCTGATGCTCCACCATCATTGCTGGCAGACACAGCTGAAACAGAGGGTGGAAATTTATCTTTGCTCATTCCTGTCAGGCCAGACCCAGGATTGGCTGATGGGTTGTGACTAACCACACTACTGGTCAATGACACAGCATCCTTAGCTGAAGAGAAGGAAACTTTGCTGCTGCCAGGATGAGGAACAACAGATTCGCCTGCAGCAAAGGACAAGAAGTGGTATCTAAGATAGGAGGACTTATGAAAAGGAGAATAAACCTACTTATTACCCTGCCAGTTTCACTGCTCAGTGCATGAGAATAAAACTTTTAAAACTAAAATGCACAAACTAAGGCCCTGAAAATCTTGAACATGGCATCAAATACATCTAAAAGGTATTATCACATTCAAATTTTAAATATGAAAAGAAAATGACCGAGTACAAATGGGAAAGCCATCATATTAACTATACTTTGTGTTAATTAAGCCTTTCAATTTAAATGAAATTAATCCAAATTTAGTTTTGTCCCAGCTCTACCAATCAGAGACCTGTATGGGCCTAATTTGAAATGGAAAGAGAAAAAAAATACAAATCTTGCTTACTGCAAACCTAGGAGGCACAATACCCAAATTTCCCCTAAAATAAGATCGGTTGTTATATTAATTTTTGTTCCAAATTATGCATTAGGGTTGTTTTAGGGTAAATACAGTACTAAATGTATCAGTCTGCCTGATTATCTTAACTGAGGCTTATTTTGGGGGTAGGACTTATATTATGGACATCCTGAAAAATCATGCTAGGGCTTATTTTCCAGTTGGGTCTTATTTTCAGCATTGCCATATACTGATAATTCAAACATATGGGGCTCAATTGGAACCCTACATTGTTTTTTCTTCTTTTTCTCTTTCCTCTACTAACAACTCTCTAAAATCATCAGTAAAGGTTCTCTTCTTCTAGGCTCTTCTCGGTTTTTGCATTTAACCTTCCCCAACCAGAAGCAGGTTTCCAAATCCTACATGAGTCCCCCAGTGCAGATATTAGATTCATTTAAAGATGTGTGAAATTCAATTCTGAAAATTTCCTAGTCAGCATGCTGGGTAATTCTGGAAGTTGAAGTTGACACATCTTAAGAGTTTTTAAGGTTGAGAAACACTGCTCTAGAGCACGGGTATCAAATTTGTGGTGT